TGAATCTGAACCAATAGTGTTCAAACCACGAAATGATCTTTTACTTTCTTCCACCAGGGAGCTACATCCACTTTGGTCGCAACTTTCTCTGGTGGCCGGAATCTTATCGAACATGCATTTATAACAAAAGGGATGTCTTCAGAAACAATAAAAGTTAATTTAGCTTTATTATCAGATTCTTCATGGAAGCAATACAATGTTGGACTGAAAAAATGGTGGATATGTTGTCAGTTAAATAAAATAGACGTCTTTGAGGCTGATACAAATCAAGTTTTATTGTTTCTTACGTATGAATTTGAAGCTGGAGCTTCTTATGGATCAATAAATTTCTTTAGATCAGCAATATCGTTGATTTTAGGACCTCAAATTGGTGAAAACTCAGATATTCGGAGGTTTTGTAAAGGAGCTTCGAAGTTAAGACCATGCTTACCAAAATATAACAAAACCTGGAATCCTCAGATAGTTTTGGATCTAGTTGTGTAGTGGCGGCCTCATGACCAGATTACACTTGAACAATTGTCTAAAAAACTTGCCGTTTTGTTGGCAGTAACAACAGGTCAACGGACACAAACACTAGCTGCTATTGATATTAGGAATATTGAAGAATTAGATACACGAATGGAAATTAAGATTCCAGCTCGGTTGAAAACATCTGGCCAGGGAAGATTTCAACCAATCCTTACCTTGCCATATTTTACTGATAACAGCTGTATTTGTGTAGCTAAAACTTTAACAGATTATTTGAAAAGAACAGAGATCCATCGGAGAGATACAGTTTCTTTATTAATTTCATATAAGAAACCGTATAAAGCTATTCATACAGAATCCATAAGTCAGTGGATAAAATCTGTTCTAACTGAAAGTGGTATAGATACATCTATTTTTTCTGCGTATTCAACTCGCTATGCTTCAACATCTTCGGCGAAAAAACAAGGGATAAATATTGACCTCATCAGAAAAACAGCTGGTTGGACGGAATCGGCTGAAATGTTTGCTAAGTTTTATGATCGAATAATTATTGATAGCAGCAATCAGTTTGCTAAAGCTGTTTTAAAGACGAGAAAGAAATAGTTTGTTAAGTAAAGTTAAAAATTACTTTGGAGCATGTGGCTTGAAAAGGCACTAGGCAGGGGTACTACATAGTGATCTTCGGAGGAGGCGCTCCGTACAATTAAGATAGAACTTTACTTACGGGTAAGTTCGTTTAATCATTTAATTATTTAGTATAGTATATAGTTTAAAGTGAAATAAAAATTAAAATTTTGTTGAAATTATAAAACGTTTAACGGAAAAAATGTAAAAATATTAATAAATAAAATAAAAATTAATTTGAAAAAAAGGAAAAAACAATTTGAAAAAGAAAACAGAAAAAATATAAGTCAGGATAAGTTTAAGAATAGAAAACAGAAAATAAAATGCAGAATAAGTTTGAGAATAGAAAAAAGATCAAAATTAAAAAGAAATACAAATTGAACATAATTCAATAAAATACAATGAATGAAATTAACAATGTACATAAGAAAATAAGATTTATGAATTAAATTATACAATACATAGAAAAGCTAGAAATATTGAAGTTATTAATTATTAAATTTAAAATAAATCATAAAAATGAAAATTTCATTAAAATGAAGTTAAAATCAATAAATATTTAAAATATTTCACTATCTACATATTTCAAGAAGCATTAAAAACGTATATTAATATCAAATAAATGATTAAATTTAAAAATATGTATCATTAACACGCTTAAAGATAGAGTGATAACAATCCCTGATAATAAATTTGCAATGTACTTAAAAATAAGTTTCTATTAAAAAATATGACCATGATTATTAATATAATTTCAAATAAATTTTCGATTTCAATTTGAAAATCTTATTAATGTTATGTGTTTTGCATATATACATGAGTTCAGTATGTTACATTAATAAAAAATATCATAAAATACGATGGTTATTCGATCAAATATTTCATCGATGAATTAACATACCACTTTATTATTATCTTAATTACAAAATTTATTCATAAGTATAGCCTAAAATATTGTCATAACAACAGTTTCTAACAGTTGTTTACAGAATGTCAATTGTTTATATAAATCTGTCAAAGGAAGCTTATCAACTATCAAAAACTCCAATTCATCAATTCATTTAATTGAGTTATTATATAAAAAGAATAATAACTTTCAATAAGTGCAAAACGGAAAAATCAAATGTCTAATATAAAGTTTACAAGTTCTGAAGAGATGGATCAGGAAATTCCTCAACAACAAGTCATGTGAGTATTTTTTTAATGTGATTATAGAAATAACAATTATGATATAAAGAATCTTAAAGAATAATTGAAATGTCACGAACTTTATGATACAATATTTATTGTAATTTATAAAGATGATTTTTTCATATACGATGGAATAAAAAAAAGTTACACTTTAGACACGTTGAAAAAAATTTTATGAGTCTTCATTATCAAATACAAAAGAATTTCTATTAAGCTAAAATTTCAGTTTAGAATAAATATATATATATAAAAAGCTTTTATATTATATTTTATTGAAATTCATAAAAATAATGAAAAAGGAATATTTTTCTATATTCTTTTAGTGAATAAATAGGTTGTAACGACTAAAATTTCCTTAAGGTGAATCCTCAAGAAAATTCCCGCCCCAATTTAAAAAGCATCGAATTTTATGGCCCAGGATTCTATGGCGGATATGCTACGAAGTAACTTCTCTAAACACAAATTAATATCCAATTCCAACTTTATTATATAAACAATTTACAACATATATTTATTCTATTCGAGATTTCCAATTGTACAGCATTACAGATAAACTTTAACTTAAATGCCTTTATACTCAAGAAAGAGAGTTGATATAAAATCCCACCCCAAAAATGTCTACCCCTAAACCTAACCCCTAATTGGTCGGGCTACAACCCAACCCGGGATACTCTGAGAGCTAACAACTCCTAGAGGGAAGACTTCAACCTTGCCTGAGTAATCGACGAGCTCCAACTCTTCTAGGGACATGGGTGTGAGCTACAACTTGTCCCAAGGTACTCCAAGAGCTAACAACTCCTAGAGAGAAGGCTTCAACCTTGCCTAAGTAATCGACGAGCTACAACTCTTCGGCGAGGAGATACAACTCCTACATGGTCAAAATCGTAAGCGCCAACTCTCGATTGTTATCTAACACCAAGAGCACCAACTCTTGGCAACGTAAGCTACAGCTCTCGTTGGTCTCGCCAGTCTAGTACCTCGGAGACAAGTGAAGTGCCGATCTCCGCAAAATCCAACACTTTTATACCATTTGACTCCGCCCACTTTGCTATCTCCCACCACTATTGTAGTGAGTTGCGTGGGGAAGTCGTCATGGCAGCAAAATCATCACAATATCTCTTTCTCTCAGATCTACATTAATAACATTGCAAATATAACTAAAAACCTGTAAAGAAATTGGCTGACTTACAAGTAGAGCATAGATACAGAGTGACTGGTCTGAAAAGAGTTAATACAAATCATGGTGATGCATTAACTGCAACAATCGACGACAAGTTCTTTGTTCATTTACCATCAAGATTGTCAAATGCTTTGAGAGAAGATAATATTACTTTCAACAAATTACTTGATTACGTCAAAGAAGATAATTTGGAACTCATATTCTTCGGTGGCAAATGGAATAGCTGCAAATTTGAACCTCGAGGGAAAGAAATTGATCAGGAGAAAGGAGAAAAAGAAGGTAATTTATCCATTAATTAATAATCAAGTAAAAAATAACAGATAGAAAAAAATCTATTGAATTTTCGAGACAATTATTTTCATGGAAATGACGTCATTAACTTTTCTCCCACTTTTTTTGATAGAAGGGGTGAAAAACGGTAGTGGGGAGCTCAAAAGCATCAGAGCCATTGAGGGACTCTTTTCTCAGTTCAAAATTAGTCTTGCAGAGAGAACGAGTGATCACCATGGATCTCGTTATTGATATAAAAGGCTATCGTTTTTCTAACGGAAAAGTGATTGTGAAAGAGTTGGCTTCATGTAAATGGCTAGGATTGGAAGAAATTTGTGAATATCATTTTTTATTTAAACCACCATGTGATTACAGTGAATTATCTATTGATGAAGAATGGGACGTTGATGTTGGTAAAAAATATTATCATGGACTTTCATGGGAAATTGGTGATACACCATATGAAACACTGGACAAGTACTTCAAAGAGACATTGAACAACGTACGTTATATTTTTGTACGAGATTATGAAGTGCAATATTTCCTGGAATCATTGATAAAAACAGATATTCCGATTATTAACTTGGAAAGAGAGAATTTTGCAATTTATGATGTTACTGGATTCATGTGTCCACATCGTGGCCAACACAACAAAGGAATAGTGAATAAAGGAATAAATATAGCACTTCCACGTCTATACTTCCATCGATACAAATGTGCACTTACAAATATAAAGAAACTGAACCAATGGGTTTTTGAGAATATTTCGATTCTTGATGATGATATCAGACCAATCAGAATTTATCGAGTAACCAAAAATTTACTTAAGTTGAATCCAACAGATTTAAAACTTTTAACGAAAGAATTCATCATTGAAGAGGCTGCAAATAATATTGACACTGCATGGGAAAAACTGCCTAATGAATGGAAATCAGATGAGGATTTTAAAATGTATCGACGATGTTACAATCATTATCCACCAAAAGACGACCAAAATGATGGCTCTATACCATTTGTTAAGGATTGTAAAATGTGTAATGAAGAATAAAATGTTTTGTAAAATGTGTTATAAAAATAAAAACAATTTTTTCTTACATAATTTATTTTGTTTTATTTATACAATCAATTTTTCTCAATAATACAGGATTAATTATAATATTAGCTGCTTCTTCCCAACATCCTTGTCTGGCTGCTCTGTAAACATAAGTCCATGCATGCATTATGTGTATTTTCGGTTGAAGATTAAATTGAACAGATTTTTGTTCCATTATAATAATTTTCTTAATTGTCCACTCAAAGGTTTGTATTCAACAATTCGATCATGAATGATTAAACAATATGCTGATGTATTATCGGGTATCGGTTTTGTAGATTCAAATTCGATTCGCACATCGACAGGTCCAGATTTTAATGATTCATTTTGTTTTGAACAATCGATGACAATTAAAGGTGCTTTTCCGATAAATTGTTCTTTTGTGAGAAGAGGTTCTGGATCTTTACCATAATATGATTCTTGGAAATTTTTGTACATATCATATAATAATGCATATTGATTGTGAGCTATGTCAAGATTCAAGTTGCCATATGGATAACATTGTGAATTGAGAAAAAGTTCTACGTCTCTCAAATTACAATGATCGAATTGACTGGAATCTTTTCTTACATCATTTTTTCGTGCTGTTTGAAATGCCAATATAACATATCTCGGTTTCTCCAATTGTGTTGATGTTTTCACCATCCAGACGTTTTTCGTTGTTCTCGGTAACAATGGATATTCATAAGTTTCCCATGATCGAAAACTCACTGTTATCGGCGGATCCTTGGCAATATAATTTAATAATTGTATTTTTCTTGGATCCGATACTGTGATGTAAGGAATCATCCATTCAATTTTCGTCAATGTAATTTTTTCATCTGTACTAGCTGCAGCTTGTACTATTGCATTTAGATCGGTGTTTGAACGTGTTAAAACAAGTTCATGCCTAGCATTAACAATAATGCGATGATAATCTTCAGCAAATCCCAATAACATATTCAATGGCAACAAAATGTCAAAGTATCCTTTATTATCCATAAGCTTTTCATCATTGACAATCCAATCTGTATTATCTAAATAATTTAATTGACTTGGATGAAGTGATAGATATCCTTTGATGACACTCGCAAGACCATCATTTTTATTGCGATCAATCTCAATGCCATTCAATTCATATCGTATTTTTTCAAATAAGTAACATAATGCCATGTTTACTAATTTCGTTGTCGATGCTACAGCAGTGTCATTAGTTTTCATAAATTTTTCAGTAATATGAAGAGAACTCTTGCAAGGCAATAAGCACAAATCTTGATGTTGAACAGCAATCCGGATTTCATCGTTGTTGTTGAGTGAAGCTGATGCATAAGGTTGATGCGCATGTAATTCACATTGTGAAAACAACTCTTCTGTTGATAGCTAATGTCTCCTCTCCCGCAGCCATGGCAATAAACACGCAAAACAGCACACTTTTACTTTGACTTTTTTCGTATGCGAAGGCCCAAGCTCTTTAAAAACGAAATATTCTAACGACTTAGTCGTTTGAGGTGTTACGTCTCAGTAACAGAATAGTCTCTTTTTCGAGTCAAGACCCAATCGTCCTCTACTCATCATGGGTGCGGAGACCACGCAGAATATACTTTAGATGGAGAATTAAAGAAATAGGAAAGGTTCTTAGTGCTTTACAAACCACACTGGTGCATTTAATTTTCTCAAAGAAAGATAGAAATTTGTTCTTATGATAGTCAATTCTTTATTTAATTTCTGTCATCTTTTTACTCACTAAATTGTTTTACAGCTTGGCTAAACAGGTAGCTAGGTAGCAGAAGGTTGTATACGCGTGAAAGGCTGCAGTTGCTTGGTTTGGTTGACGCTTCGATTCTCGGCTCTCGGCGTTGGTGCGGCGTCTTTCGGCGTAGTTGAGATGATTTTATGGTTTTATGGCCGTCTTGGTGAAAGGTTGTCGTTGGCTCGTTGGAAATCTTCGTTGAAGCCTTCTAGTTGACTGATCTTCCTTCTTCTTACACTCCCGATTTTTATTTTAATAATTTTTGTTAGGAGATAAATAAGATTAAAAATAAAAGAATTTAAATATGCAATTTGTTTGAGAGAAAATCCACGTAGGATTATTTAATCTCAAATGAGTATATTTCAAGCCCAAAAATTTATCTTTGAATTTTAGAGTTGAATCAAGAATTAGTTTAAAAGTATTCTGAGTTTGAAAAATTATATCAAGCTGAGTTCGGATTTGCACCGTGCCCAGTAAAAATTTGGAAGAGAGTGAAGTTCCTTGGGAAAACCTGAACTATTTAACCAGGGTTCCAACGCCTCTGAAAAGCTGGAGGTGGTAGCTTTAATGTTCTTTCTGCCAATCCGGTAAATTTGAATATCCAAATTTCCTTTGGTCAGGCTATCCACGTGCGGGCTTCTTGAACTGCCTTTACGCTCGCTTTCTCTTCTTTCCTTCACCTGTCTGTCCACCTAGCGTCCTTGAGTTTCCCCTTGGTGCCTCCAAGTCTGACTTCACTTATTGATTTTTCCTTACCTGACTTTCCTCTGCATGCTGTCCTTTTCTTTTTAAAATGTAATATTCCTTTTTTGTTTTTAACAAAAAATGTTGTGTACTCTGGTACATAACAGAGGTTTTGTCGTTGACTGACAATTCTTTGGCATGGTAACTCAGTTTTATAGCTTCTTCCGACAATCGTTTTATAAAGAATACCCATTATTTCACAGATTTCACATGCAAACGAATTGTTATTATTTCTCCACGAAAATTAACCAATTCTCCGTCTTGATCAACAATTTTTAATTGCATATGATGTATTGCTTGCACGGCGATTGGAAGATAAATGACGTTAGATGGCACTTCAATCATTTTATATCCTGGTGGAACTGATGGAAAGAATTCATGAATTGTATGAATTGTATGCACTAATTTATTATTTATGTATGCTCCTGTAGTAATATTGCACTCGATTCTCAATGCATTTATTTTCAAGATAGAAACTGGTGAATCCGACGTATGTGTTGATTTTGGCGAGATAAGTATTGGACCAAAACCCAACAGACGACCAATAGAATCATCTGGCTCGAAATTTATTGTAGCGTTATCACTGTAAATCTCACTGTGCAATTCATTGTTGTTAGGTTTAATGGAAATTGACAATTGAGGATCTGCTTTCTTCAAATAATTTTCAATATCTTCAATTTCATAGCTTCCTGTTGGTATTTCAATAATTTTATTTTGTCTATTTATATTATAATAAAATTTATTATTTCCATTATCAATGTTTGGGATAGAGTTGAATGTTAATAATTCAACAAGACCCAGTGCATAATTTTTTGTCCTTGTTAATTCGATAGGTGGAAAATAATATGCCTCTGATTAGGGATGTTGATCTGAGATCGATTTTTTACAAAGATCGATCTTTAGCCTGTAAATAATCGATTTTTTGAATCGATCTTGGTAAGTCGATAAATCGAATAGATCGAGTTTGAGGTCCGAGATCAAATCAACTTTTAGTTCGATACACAACCACTAGGGGGCACCATATATTTTTAATCTTTAAATAAAATTCAGGAAAGGTGACGGCCGATACAAGGAAATGGATGCGTGGAAATAGATATTTATACGAAAAAAAAGATTGAGAGGCTGGTGGGAGAGTCGTAGTGGCTTTAGATAGTAAATTTATAACTTTTCTCATATATTTCCTAAAACAAATAAGAAAATTTGTTAAATAAGTTAAATTTAAAATAATAAGTTAAATTAGTCAGTAACAGCAGTAGTATAGAGAGGTTTCTTCAATTTAAACTAAAGTTAACCTCTCTTTACCACGCACGTGGTAGAAGAGTAGGTTATCATGAAGGCAAAGAGAGAGAAAAGGAACGATGGGGATCTTGAGCTGGCGGGAAAAGTAAAAGAAAAAATGAATGATGAAAGATTAAGAGAATCGGACCTATTTATGAGTTTACAAAAGGAAGCAGCGGGTTCAAATGATATAGAGATTAATAGTAGATCAAGAAGTCGGAGTCCTATCTGTAAGGATACTTTGGGACATGAAAATAAAAAGGAATAGAAATTGCAATATAGTACCAAGGACAAAGGTCCATTTATCATAAGATTAAGAAAAGTAGACAAAGAGAACGTAGCCCAGGCACCTGCCAAACCACTGATGGCCTTAGAAGTATGTAGGTTACTGGAACAGTGTGCAATTAAATATGATTTGGTAACCCCTTTGTCTAGGAGGTTATGGGAGGTTACATTTTATTCTAGAGATGCTGCTAATAGAGCTTTATCTAATCCATATTTGGGAAAACGAAATCTGACGGTCTGGGTTCCTCGTGCCTTGGTATATAGAAAAGTGATAATAAGAGACATCCCTTTAGACATTACGATGCAGGAACTAATAGAAGAATTGAACAACGCCAATCCTAAACTGTATGTAGAGGAAGCAGAAAGAATGAAGAGAAGGGAAAAAAATGGTGGACACAATATACTGGTGGACACATTCTCAGTATGTCTAACTATTAGAAGCAAGAAAGTACCAGAATATGTTTATTTGAAAAAAACTAGAATAGGCGTAGTGCCTTATATTCAACGTGTCACTCAATGTTATAGATGCGGTAAAAAAGGACATATTAGTAAATTTTGCAAAAATCAAGAGAAATGTTTAAGATGTGGACTAGATAAGCACAGCGAGGAAGAACGGTGTCAAGAAAAGCCTAAATGTATTAATTGTAGAGAGGAACATTCAACCCTGGATCGCAGATGCCCAACACTAATAGAAGAAAGAGAAATTAGGAAAATTATGGCGTATGACAACGTTGATTTCAAAGAAGCCAGAAAAAAGTATGCAGCTAGTAGTGTGATAGGGACTAATAATAGGGTTCCAGTCAAAAACGCTCAGAATTTTCCTGAATTGAAAGTACCAAAGAACATTGAGAATATGAATATTTTTGCTGAAATAAAGAATTTAGCTGCAGTCAGTGGATTACGTAACGATCGTCAAAGTAACCGAAGTAAGCAAGATTCATTACAAGAGGATAGTGCAAATAATAACCCAGAGGGATGGGAATTTCTAAGAAATTTCATTCAAGTCGCCCCAGATGCTGATAAACTGCTAGGTAGAATTTGGAGGACCATCGAGTTACATCTTTCAACTTTTGGAAACCAAAATGGAGCTGGAAAAAATAAAGTTTCTTCAATGGAATTGTCAGAGCATCAAGAATAAAATGAATGAGCTTCAGTATAGGGCTAATAATTTCGAGGTTATTTTGTTATCAGAGACTTGGCTCACTGAACAAGATAATATAAGAATAAGAGGATTTGATATAATACGCAAAGACAGGGTAGGTGTTACTGGAGGAGGTGTAGCTATTATTGTAAGTAGTAATCTAAAGTACAAAAAGGTTAGTAATTTATACAATTGTAATGGAAAAATAGAGGTATGTGCCATCAAAATATTTGTGAATAAAGAAGAGTTATTAATCGTATCTTGTTATAGGCCACCGGATGCTCATATCTCTGAGGCTTTGTGGAAGCGTTTTCTGAGGCAATTTAATGGAAGATTTTTGATAGCTGGAGATTTTAACGCCCATCATCCTCTTTGGAGAGGGCAAAATAGGTGTTCTGAAGGGAAAAAAATTTTTGAAGCTATTGAGGAGTCGGAGATGGGTGTAGTGAATAGAGGTCATATGACTTTTAGATCAAGACAGTATGGCACGGAGTCAGCAATTGATTTAACTTTAGCAGACTATCAATTTCTTCTTTCTTATAAATGGAGAGTAGAGCAAGATAGTTGGGGTAGTGATCATTACCCGATTTATATTGAACTGAGTAAGAAGGCTGAAACTAATGCAGTTAAGCAGTCAACATATAGAGTTTATAAGAAAAGTACAGATTGGGAGCTAGCAAAGAAGAATTTAATGGAAAAATTGGAGGAATGCACAGAGGTAATTGCAGATTCTAGTATAGAGACTCAAGTCAAGTATACAACTTTTACATCAATGATAGCAGATTGCATCATTAATGCTAGTCCGAAAAATCGATGTCAAACACTAGCCTTTACAGGACATAATAACCAACCTAAGAACACTAAACAAAAAAGTACAGCGAGTTTTTGGAATGAAGAATGTAATCGGTTAGTAAGATTAAGAAGAGCAGCTTTAAAGAGGCTGAAAGAGTTTCCTTCTCGTGAGAACTTTTTAAA